TTCACATGGAATTTTTTTCTGTTTTGTGATATTTTTTTAAGACTTAACTAGCAACCAATCATTGGTTGCTGAAGGTAAATTTTAGAATGTCGGTTCAGGGGTGAGTCTCATCAGGTTGCATAGCCCACAATCCAATTTGATCGACGACTTTGCCATTGATATCTATTTGATTCAAACCATTGAACGGATGGAAATCGACTAAATTGATGCAAATCAGATGGTTGATCGATTTTGGCAAACATTCGGGGTATATATGCCGCCTCTATAGGAGACACTCAAAGTGAAGTTTGCAAATTTAGTGGGTTATGAGATTATTTTGTGAAAAAGAACAAAAATATCAATACCAAATTTAGCAACCTCTAAAGACGTCTAATATCGCGATAGGATGCAACCATGGTCTATCCTCATTCCTCACAAGATCAAGTTGTGGTTGCACCACGAGATGCTGTCGCTGAGATATAATCCACCCTATCCTCCCCACAAGCCTTCTGTTCCATTAACTACAATTAATAATTATGAAACGAGTCAACATTTTTTCGATACTACAGTTGTTTCACAAAATGGAGCTAATCTAGGAATAGATCTTATACAATGAAACGAGTCAACATTTTTTCGTTACTACAGTTGTTTCACAATATGGAGCTAATCTAGGAATAGATCTTATACAAAACCAGTGTTTAAACAATATTTGCTACAGAACTCAAACAACATTTGCTTTTCCATAATCACATCTCATACAAAATAATCTTATACGATATTTAATAATTAATATTTAGATAAATGGAATGGTCATTGAATTTTACTCTTACATGCACATAAGCCATTGAACAGTGAAATTCAATTCGGAGCATTCACAAAACTATACTTTAATTTGAGACTAATCAGGCCTTTCGTTAACCTTCCGTTTAACCACTAAATAAATAAAATAATGTAATAATAAACAACTAAAATTTTTCAATTTTTATATAAATTATCATATGAAATATTTTTAAGAAATTTTGTTAGCAATTAATTAAGGATAATGCTAGTGGTACATAAGCCTCTACATAATCGAGATGTATTACTACTTCACCGTATCATTCGATCCTTGATGTGTAAGCGTCAGATTTGAATTAAAGGTGGATCACACGCCACGTCGGCATTATGTAGACCCTTATGTAGATGCTTATGTACCACTAGCATGATCCATTAATTAAATATGCTTTTAGTAATAATAATATCAATCTTAAATAAGGAAAAAAAAAATGATTTTCCCTCTTCTACAACACAATTTCTCGGGCCACTGACGTGAGTACTCGACCGCAAACTTCAAGGCCCCATAGAATTAGTCGAGGTACGCGGAAGTTGGCTCGGACATCCACGATTTAAAAAAAAAAAAAAACACACACACACAATTTCTCACTTTATGCACCATGCAGCCCTCCATTTCCCTTAGCCGTAACCTCACACGTGAAAACGCGGGCGCCCATATGGCCACTGCCTGGTGGCGGATCTAGCCAAGTATCCGTGCAAAGTGATATGCAAGGACTCTACCAAGAAGCGGACTAAGAAATCACTCGTCAAGTGCTTTATAGAACTAGTATCATCTTCGTTTTCCATTGAAATGCTGGCTCCATTTAGAATTTTATTCATTTTTGTTGTAATTTGTAAAATGATTGTGTATTTTGTCATAATTGAAACTTCCCCCTTATGTGTTTCTTTAATTCTGCTTTTAGGATGTTAGGGTTTTTTCTTTTCAATAGCTAATTGCCAAAATTTCTGGTATAGTATAGATCTTTTGGATTATAACCGACAGTTTATGCAATGCATTGCTTGCCACATTCTGATTGTTAGCTGCTAATGTTTCTTGCTATTGTCTGATTTTCTTATCATTGATTTGTGATTTTATTGATACCTTTTGCCGAGCACTTGAATTTCTGGATGAGAAAGCCTCTGATATCTAATAAAGAAATTCTATTATTCTCTTTGATGTCAACTGTGAGAAAACCTCTGGTGTCTAGTAAAGCTAATTAGATATGAACCCTAGACAATTAAGTAAAGAAGCAAGGATAACTGTTTGTATGTTACCAAAATTGCTCTGTATTCAATCAATTGTAAGAACAGAGAGATAGGGTTTTTTTTTTTTTTGTAAGGAAATTTTCTAGTATCATCTTCGTTTTCCATTGAAATGCTGGCTCCATTTAGAATTTTATTCTTTTTTGTTGTAATTTGTAAAATGATTGTGTATTTTGTCATAATTGAAACTTCCCCCTCATGTGTTTCTTTAATTCTGCTTTTAGGATGTTAGGGTTTTTTCTTTTCAATAGCTAATTGCCAAAATTTCTGGTATAGTATAGATCTTTTGGATTATAACCGACAGTTTATGCAAGGCATTGATTGCCACATTCTGATTGTTAGCTGGTAATGTTTCTTGCTATTGTCTGATTTTATTATCATTGATTTGTGATTTTATTGATACCTTTTGCCGAGCACTTGAATTTCTGGATTAGAAAGCCTCTGATATCTGATGGAGAAATTCTAATATTCTCTTTGATGTCAACTGTGAGAAAACCTCTGGTGTCTAGTAAAGCTAATTAGATATGAACCCTAGACAATTAAGTAAAGAAGCAAGGATAACCGTTTGTATGTTACCAAAATTGCTCTGTATTCAATCAATTGTAAGAACAGAGAAATGGGGGGTTTTTTTTTTTTTGTAAGGAAATTTTACAAAGTAGAAGGAAATTTCTACGTCTTGCAAACTTAAATCTGATGAGTGGTCTGTCGATCTCCTAATGTGTTCTAGACTTCTAGTCATATATCTCAGTGATTATCATTGTGTTCATAATTTGCATACATGAACCTAGGTGTACGCAGCCCACATATTCACACATCTTTTCTGACTTCTCATTGGGAATATTTTCTGAAATATTGGCTTCACTTGTTTCAGGTTGGTTACTTGCTTAGCTTGGGTGATCTACATCCAATTAAACCTCTATTTGTCAATTTCATTTTTTGATTACAAATCAGTTTTTTCAAGATGTACACTGCATTGCAAAAGATTCACAAGGACAAGGATGCTGAGTTCACTGAGTTTGAGGAGACTGTTGCTCAGGTCGTTACCCCATAGAAGTTAGTTGTTTCGTTCACTTTACTCAGCCATTAAATTTCTATGATTGCAATTTGTGATGGTTTTCCCTTCTTGATGTGTATGTAGGCTCTGTTCAACTTGGAAACTACAAACCAAGTATTAAGAGTGACTTGAAAGATCTTTACATCAACAATACCATGTAAAAGTTATCTTGATCGACACTTATTCTATGCCCAATCACCATTTTGTAGCATGTTGATCATCAGTCCATTTTATATTGTGCAGGCAAATTGATGTTTCTGGAATTGTCTTCGGAAAGCTTTCCGTAAGATTCTTCATCTTAGACTAGTGAGAGAGCTTGAGAAGAAGTTCAGCAAGAAGGTAATGCTGATACTATGATGTCATGTTAAGAATTTGCTCCATTTATCTAACCAAAATTGCCATACCCCCTTCTCCAACCTTGTTCAAAAAGGGCAAAAACTTAATCTTCACTTACCAAGCAGAGGAATGCAACATTTTCTACCTTTCCACTTCTACATAATTTTGATCAATCTATTCAGATATTATTTGCATTTGTCTCGTGTTAATAATACTTAAATGGTGTTGTTTTGCAGATGAATGCTGGTGATGTTGCCAAGGCTGGCAAGATGAAATAAGTTTCTTTCATTTTGTGCTTTCTAGTTTTTCATCGTTTCCTTTCGTTTTATTAAATTTTATTGGTAATAACAATATATACAATGACAATTATCATTTCGTAGATACTATTGTTTCTTGTTAATTTCTTTATTTTTGTTATTTTCTCTAGTGCATTTTTTTTTAAATATTTATTAATTAAAGACAACTAATTAGTTATAGCAACTAGTGGTTTTTAAAAGCCCAACTAAACTATTAGTCAAAATATAAGCAGCGACCAAATATTAATTCTTAAATATTTTTTATTTAACATCCGACAAATGGATTTTGGCTTGTAAACATCTTCTTGCGACCAAATTTTGGTTGTTAAAAAAAAAAAATGCACCATTGATCAACCAATGATTTGAAAAGTTGACAATAGTTTTAATTAATGCTTTTTACCAACCTATGTTTAGTTGCAAAAGGGTGAAAATCTACTAATTTTTGACAATTACTAGCTGCCAAACCAAATCCTTCATCGACCGACGTTTTGGTCTCCGAATGTTGTAGATTTAGCGACCAACTTATAATTGGTCGCTAAAGATGTTAGGTGAATTAGAGACCAACCAGCGACCAAGGTTTTTTGGTTGCTCAAGATCTTTTGCGACCAACAAATAGCCTTTAGCGGCCAATAAGATTGATAGTTGGATTATGATAACCTCTTGAAAGTAAGGCCATAAAGAGAAGTATCGTGAAAATGAATCGTATGATTTTCTTTTGGAATAAACATTTTAATTTCACAAAATTTAAATAGAGAATGCATCTCTTCAAGAGATTAGATAGTATAATGTTCTTCAAAAATTTTGCTTTTTCAAGAACAATAAATCCAATATTTTCTAAATTATTGATGAAGTTGTAATTCTTCAAAAGCATTAAAATAATATTCTTCTAAATAATTATGTCATGTTTCTTTAAGGACGTCATATTCTTTTATAATATATATATATATATATATAATATTGATATTTACAAAATGTATACTTTTTAAGAAAAATTATATAATGTGGGAGACAGATGCTAATGTTGATGATTGCTTTGCATGAGGAATGTATTGCTGTCACTGACATATAGTTCTACATTTAAAAGATAGTGAGAAAATTACAACTGTGGCTAAATCCACTTTTAATGTAGCATTATGCTTTGGTGAACTTACAAGTTGCAATAAGTCCCTTTATAATCTCAAATTCAGGTTCAACACAAAATAGAGTTGGAGAGAACTATGTGCACTAATTAATTAGTCGAGCACCAAAATAATGCAAATTCATCGTGCTTCCAGCTGTGTAATGGTTACTTCATTGGCTGAAAAGCTAGTTGTGCTTTTAACTACAAATACATCTCTTTCTGTGAAAAAACCAGGTTGATTTGCTGGAGGCAACACAACTTCATTGTCCAACATTGAAACCACTGAACCCATGCTTGGTCTATCATCTGGACATTGTTGCACACACAAAAGGCCCACATGGATTAATCGAAGCACTTCAAATGGAGTAGCCGAGTCAAGTAGAAAAGGGTCAACTAGTTCCAATGACCTTTCTTCCTTATAAAGTGTCCATGCCTGTATAAATTTAACCAAGTTAACATACTCTATCACCGGGTTTAGTGCAAAAACAATAAGAGTAATGCTAAGTGTGCATTGTCCAAGAATAAAGGCAAAAATTACATGTCCGAGAAGGTTGAGGTGTTGATCTTCACGGGAAAACCCACTATTTCTCTTGCCACTCACAATTTCCAGCACAAGAACGCCAAAGCTAAATACGTCTGATTTTACTGAGAATCGACCGTGCACTGCATATTCAGGTGACATGTAGCCGCTGTGGAAGCATTAGTTAGAATATAATGTTGTGAGCAATGGAAGTATACAAAATTTAAATTGTGTCTTCGAGTTTCTTACTAAGTTCCAATCACTCGACTTGTCTTATCTTCGGTTTCATTCCCTCGAAAACTTTTAGCGATGCCAAAGTCTGATATCTTAGGTTTCATGTCAGTATCTAGCAATATGTTGCTAGCTTTTAGGTCTCTATGGATAATTCTCAATTGGGAATCTTGATGAATATACGTAAGTCCCCTAGCAACTCCATTAACAATTTTGAGGCGCTTGGGCCAATCAAGTAATTTACTTCTTGTTTCATCTGCCAAAATAGTTTGCTAGTATTAGTATACCATATCCAGTTTTTCAAAGCATGGACATCAGAAATTGATTGTTATCAGCAGTGTTCTGGAAAAATATATCACAGAACTATACATGGATAATGTACCGAAAGAACATCGCTTTCCTATATTTATTCAATCACCTAGGATTCAATTTTTGACAAGCATGAATCTTCTATTCACTGCATGTGCTTTTAAGATACCATTTATTATATAACTGGAACTAAAGTAGTAAATATTTATTATGGCTATATATAATCTCCAAATTCGAGGTAATTTTGAGCTGACTGTACCAGACTTAGAAATACTCACCAAATAAAAACAAGTCCAGGCTTTTGTTGGGCATATATTCATAAATCAACATCTTTTCCTCTCCTTGAATGCAGCATCCTAGAAGCTTCACAAGATTTCGATGCTGAAGTTTGGCGATACAGATAACTTCATTCTTGAATTCATTAATTCCTTGCACGGAAGTTTTTGACAACCTTTTCACGGCAATCTCTTGCCCATTTTCCAGCACTCCCTAAGATCATAAATTGTGCATTTCAAGAAGGATTCACTTTATGAACTTGAAGTAGTGCAGGCTTCCATTCTGTTTCTATTTATCTTTTACTCTCTTTCAAATTTTCTCCTAAGGATTATAGATGCCACAATGAATGAATTTGGGGACTCCCATCTCTTATAAAATGAGAACTGAGAATTTGAACTTTGCCACATATGTGTATGAAGCTCAATTTGCTGAAGGAAAATGTTAAAAATCTTTTAGAAGTCCCAAGAAAATAACACTTCTTTTCAGGTCTACCCGTTATGGAGCAAGTCTAATTTTTCAGAAGACATTGATCATCTTCTGCAAAAATTCTTTGAAATAAGCGAAAAAAGAACTGATTATATTATTTTGACGGACATAGCGTCTATGGCTTAAGAATGAAGGGTTATTCATGGTTCAAAATCCTCATTTCCGTAGATGATTTCACTTTGGGGCATCTCATCTCAAATAAAGTTCACTAGTCATGTGATTCTTCTAAAACTCTAGCATCTGTTCAGGATTGCAGGCAATATCATTATCTAGAGGCATCTATAAGGTGTTCTAATTTGCTCAAAAGTAATGTCAGAAAACCACATACAGATTTGGTATATATTTACCTTATGAACAGGCCCATATCCACCTTGTCCAAGCTTGTTGTTGGTTGAAAAGTTATTGGTGGCTTTTGAAACTGTAGATAAATCGAACAATGGCAGTTCAAAGTCATTGTTTTGGTTTCCTGAAACTTGAATAATTGAGGATATAATTTAGCAGAAAGAAGTTGAAAAGCCAATTGTTACCCTGTAAGATATGTTCGTGTGCTTATATGTCCATGTTCTTGGCCTAGTTTTTGTTAATTAATCTTCATCATTAAATTACACAGGTTGCTCACCTCGCATTCTTTCATTTGCGTAGTTTTTCTTCCTTTTCCAGTAATACAACATCAAGCTGAGGCCTAGCAGAACCATTCCCACCATTGAAGTCACAATCGAAATCAATATTTTTCTTCTCGTTCCTTTTGAATCTGCAAGCAAGTTTAATCCAAAGAAAATAGATAGTCTTTTATGATAGGCACAATTCGGAAGTCACAAAATGGTATACGTAATATTTTACTGGCTCATAAAAATTTTTGCCTACTGATGTAATGATAACAAAATAAGGTCTATTTTAAAAGAAGTATTTGATTGATGTTCATATTCTTACCCAACTCAGAAGAAGCCATTCTAATGTAAATATCTTGTCCATCTACAGATAGATCTCTGATATCAATCAAGTCTTCAGACCAAAACAAGCATCCACTTCCCTCTATGCCGATATTTAATTGTGTGTATGCTGTACAAGAGCAATTCTTCAAACACTTTACTTTGCATTCTTCAAGTGTTATATTCTTGTTAAACCAAGAATATCGTGAGTCTGGCATTTTAACTCCAGAATACTTCAAAAATATATCACCCTTCTCACAATTCAAGGGTGTTCTTCGAATGCACCCATTTGACCAATCTGACCTAACCCAACCTTCTGGATCTTTTGGCACAAATCTATCAAGACATCCACATACAGGAGATTTTCCTATATTGCAAATACCATAAGCACCACATACTTTATAATTATCACAACGATCTGATGGTATATTCAGGTAAAGGACCCAGTCTTGGATTCGAACCTGGGTACAGGTCGCGACACGCTTACCACTCGGACTCAGAGTAACTCTTGAAATAATTGATCTGTCAATAGCTTCTTCCCTATAGATTGTCTTGTTCTCATCCATGATAAATTCAGAAGTGTATGTTGGATCCAGCCTTGAATTTGGTATCCCACTAAAGCGAAGACCGTTCCAGGGTCCCATTCTACAAATAATTACATTACCTCTTTTTAAGATGTTTTGTGGATATCCCGTCGGATCTATGTAAAATGTATAATCGCCTGGAGCTGGATCATTATTGTTCGTCCACGATATTAGGTAGATCTGTATACCTGTTGCAGAGTTCCAACCAAAATTCATGTCTGGCAGAAATGTATCGGTTAAATAATCAAAACTTTGCCAGAGAAAATTCTCTGGACGATCATCATTTGCTTCTCTAAGGATTCGTTCATTATACCTGTTGCAGAGTTCCAACCAAAATTCATGTCTGGCAGAAATGTATCAGTTAAATAATCAAAACTTTGCCAGAGAAAATTCTCTGGGCGATCATCATTTGCTTCTCTAAGGACAAGATTTCCCGAGTCCAACAATTGCAAAACTGGAGTCTTAACAACCCTTGATGTATTTGAAGACCATATGATGTTACTAGTGTCATTCTGAAGAACCAACACACCTGGCTCGAGGACCTTCAAGATGCCTGATTTACTCGTTACCGGAATTTCTCTGTTAGCTACCCAAACTGCTTTGAAAATAGATACGTTGGTGTACCATATTCCCACATACCGATTATTTGTGTTATTTGGGTTGAAAAATCCCAGTTCAAATCTTCCCCCGGATGAAACCAGGGTGTCGCCATCTCTGAGGATCTGAGTCGTGCTGATGGTATCAATTGCCGTGGAAATCTTTAGGATGAACAGTAAGGATGATAGGAGAAGAGAAAAGGATGCAACTTTAATTGATTTCGTCATGTTTAATCTCTATCTTTTTGTGTTGACTTTGTATCTTCGGCAGGGATTCAAACGGGAAGAAACAACATTCTCAGACATCTATTATCTATTGCTAAAATTCTACAAGGATTGTTAACCTGACTTGCACTGAGATTTCATCATTTGGCACCAAGTTTCAGTCAGCTAATGAAAAGTGATCTTTTCAATTAATTTTACAGTTTGTTCAAAATTTGACAATATGATAGTCACTTTTGACTCCTATTTTGTACGCGCAAACGTCTATGCTTGACCAAAAACTGAAGAACAAGGGTCAAGGACAATATATTATTCTTATTGCTCCCCAATGGTCGCCAGTTCGATTCCCCTCAGTGTTACTGAGGTAAGTATCCGACCGTAAACTTCAGGGTCCCGTGAAATTAGTCAAGGTGCGCGGAAGCTTGCCCAAACATCCACGGTTATCAAAAAAAAAATATTATTCTTATTGATCTAGTGCGTTGTTTATGTGAACAATAATAGCTGGATTTATTTAATGCCGGAATCCTGTTCTTGTTTCTACTGTTTGCAGATGTGGGAAAAGGGAAAGAAAAAAATGCACTTCAAACATGCTTCATGTGACGTTGCCAAGTAGAGACGCCCTCTCCTTCCCAATGACTATTTATACTTTTAGGGAATATTCCAAATGTCACTGTTACATCGTTGATTTGGTCTATGTTATGTCCAAATTATAATTGGCAAGTTTTAAATATTTAATTGGCAAATTTTTTAGTCAAAATTAAGTCCTAGTTGAATTGTAATATGAGTTTATCGAGATATAATCAAAGTCAAAATATGAGTTATTGAGACCTAATTAAAGTCAAAAGAGTTGGGATTGACAGTATAACCTTTGAATGAGTTCAAGATATCCAAAAAGATTACATATAATCATTGGAATGCAAAAGAGTGTCCAAGAGCTATACAAGTTATGCTCCATACTTGCAACACATTTTTCACATAAAAATAAAAAAAAAATTGGAATTTGGACCATTGTGTTAGCTTTTCAACACACTTTGAATCAACTCAATCAAATATTGAGAGATAAAGTTATGATAAAATACGGATGACTGTTCAGATGTCAATCGCCTATCGCTCATAGCTCTCGAGCGACGTGGTTATCTGAAGAGCAGTAAGTTTAGATTTTCAAGCTGATTTTGAGTTCTTTTTCGTCTCAAACACTACTCATTATAAATATACACCTTATGAACATCCAAAGATGTGTTGAATCATATTTTTTCATAGAGATCAATATTTTGATGATCCAAAACTTTTTTTGATTCAAAGATTCAACCACCACATATTACTTGATCCATAAATTCATCCAAAATATATTTTATTGATCAAGCCATATTATTTCATATTAAACCACTGATCAAGACGCAAAGATTATTTGATCAAACACCAACCCGAAGAATGAGGAGTTCTTCATTTAATCCACGGGAAATAAATCGATACCAGAAATCGGGAGCTGTTGTAGAATAATAAATTCAGGAGGACTACGGTGAGGTACC